TTGGGGTTTTAATTGACTATGATAGGAAAAGTTCTTTACGAAAGTGGCAGTGGGTCGACTTTTCCATAGGAAGCCATAGGGGAAAATGCGTATTTTTGCAATAATGCAGGAGCGCCTCGGCCGATCCTTCTCATCTTCGAATTCGATCAAGATATTGTTAAGATTAAGGTGTGTAGAAAGTTTCATCGCAATCTGACTCTGCTGTCAAAAGCTATCATGTAAACATCCGACCGGACGGACGGCCACTGACTATCCTATACTGTACTCACTTTTTGAGTACACAAAAACTATAATTTGCTTCAAAACTAATATCAGATTCAGAATCGGCGTTAAAAACTGAGTCGATTAATGTATTTTGTGAATAATTATGAGCAAAAAACTTTTTTTGGAAAAATCCCCGTACCCCCCCCCCCCTCAGGGATGGCCTGGTCAAAAATCACCATTTTTTTTATAACTCAGCCATTTCTGACGGATTCTTCTCATCTTCGAACTCGACCGAGATATTGTAAAGACTGAACTGTGTAGAAAATTTCATCGCGATCTGACTCTCCTTTCGAAAGTTATCGGATAAACGGATGGACGGACGGACTGACGGACGGCCGGCCGGACACACTGACCGATTTTAGTAGTGTACTCACTTTTTGAGTACACAAAAAGGAACAATAGTAGCTCCATAACGAGGATGCTGGATGAAAAGTTGTTGTTGACGAACACGTAACGAAACGTTATTATTATGACACCAGTCCATGCCAAGAAGAAGATCAGCTCCTAGAGAATCAACTACGAAGACAGAAGTATATGTAGGAATGGAATTGATATAGATACATAAGCGAACAGAACCATGAACAGCTATAGTAGTAGAAGCATCACCGAGTACAGCGATAGGTTGGTGACCGATCACTTCGTCGCACGACACTTTGTCGCATTCACTTCGTCGCATTCACTTCGTCGCACGATCACTTCGTCGCACGACACTTCGTCGCAGAATTTTTTCTTTCTGTTCGTCGCAGATAAAATTCTTTCCTTATGCTCATCACTATCCATTCGTTGCATATATCTCTTAATTATTTTTTTTTAATGAAAGATGTAAAATCGATGAGTTCGCTCATATTTATTTTGCACAGAATATAAAAAATAATGATGAACAAATTCAAAACAAAACAAAAAAGAAAAACCAAAAAAGAAAGAAGAATCAAAAAGAAAATAATTTAAAGAAAAAAAAATAATCTAAAGAAAAAAAAACTAAAGAAAGAAAGTAATTTAAAGAAAAAAAAATACCTAAAGAGTAACATTGGCTGCCATATTTTTTAAGAATTCATCCAGTTGGGATGCGTCGAATCCGTTGACCAGTCGATTAATACGTTCGTCCAATTTTCGATAGCAGGCCTTTTTCGCCTTAATATTGTGACCTTGAAGAATCTTCGCCATGTCCACTTCAAATTTTGATTGTTCACGACGAATTTTCTCCGCCAATTTCACAATATTTGGATGATTTAATGCAACACGGTTAGCAAATGCATTGTGCCAACCTTCCACCGAATTATTGGATCGAGGTATCGTAGCGACGACACGATCATAAACGTTCCATAATTTATGATCGAATTGAGGATTCTTTCGACCAGCTCCTTAAAAAGTTCGGTATATTAGAAATTTTTCAAGAATTGAGAAAAAAATTACCTCTTCTTTTTTCACCAATCCATGTTTTTTCAAAATAATCGAGTAAATCGTCGGCGTCATCGTCGAATTGATCACAAATTAAGGCAAAGCCAATGATAACTTGATCTAGTGGAACAAAAGCAAGAGCAATTAATTTTTTTACATTTAAGCGAAAATACTCATCCTCATTATATTTGGTTGTTAATCCTTTGCTTTGAACTTGTCGCCATACCGCTTGTGAAAAATGAAAGAGACAACCTATAAAAAAAATGTTTCAATTACTTTTTTTATGAATAGATTAGAAAGTACCTTTGTGTAACACATTTGGCAACATATCTTTCACTGATTTGATTGTGCCAGTTTCGAAATCAGTCATAATTGATTCAGGTTGGAAGTTGTCTTGTGCTAAAACTTTTTCGAAAAATAAATTATAATCTTCTGAATTTTTACCAATTAATAACCCATAGACGGGAGGAATAATTGCATTGGTCATCATCGCGTGTAATGTGAAGAGTTGATAATAATCCTCAGGACACACCTACATAAAAGAAAATTAGAAAAAAAAAGAGACACATTTAATTGATAGCCTACTTTGAATGTTCCATCAGCTAACCAATGTTTGTTTTGCTTAAGAATGGATAAATTAATGTCCGTCCAAAAAGTCCGTGCGTGTGACTATTTTTTGAATAATTTTTGATAGGTACAAGATACAGACTTGCGGTTTTCGGCGTTCGACAGCCAAGGCAAAGAGGCATCTTTTCACTATGAAAAACGTTTCTGAGGAACAATTTCGAAGTCAGTTTATCACAGGATCTTTGAGAAGTTAGATTGAATTTCTCAAAACTTGCATGGAGACCTATTGATATTTTTACATATTTGGAATCTCCACTAAAAACTGAGTCAACTCATATATGTTTCGAATCGTTTCGCGACACGTTTTTTCCATCGAAAACCTCTGCCCTAGGAACCCGTCTATAAATAAAGTTCGTCAAAACGCCGTTTCTATCATTTAATCTTGCGCCATTTTGTGTTATAGTAGCATTTTACAACTTCGGAAGTTGCTTTCCACTGTCCAAGTGATCTTTTGACTAACTTTATTTATAGACGGGTTCCTAGGGCAGAGGTTTTCGATGGAAAAAAAGTGTCGCGAAACGATTCGAAACATATATAATTTGACTCAGTTTTTAGTGGAGATTCCAAATATGTAAAAATATCAATAGGTCTCCATGCAAGTTTTGAGAAATCCAATCTAACTTTTCAAAGATCCTGTGATAAACTGACTTCGAAATTGTTCCTCAGAAAAGTTTTTCATAGTGAAAAGATGCCTCTTTGCCTTGGCTGTCGAACGCCGAAAACCGCAAGTCTGTATCTTGTTCCTATCAAAAATTATTCAAAAAATAGTCACACGCACGGACTTTTTGGACGGACATTAGTTTTTGTTGTGAATATAATTAAATTTTTGTCTTCGTGCAAGATGAAATCTTCATCACGATATGTCTTTCTTAATCTTTCTGGTAAACGACCATTAACATCGACTGTTTCAACAGTACGTTGTCGTCTAATCAGTAGAGTAAGTGCTTCATTTCTTGGAAGTTCACCAGCGGCACTTAATGGATATGTAGGTAAGGCGGAATGAATAATTGAACTGGTTGGTTCATCTGTTATCACAGCACGAGCTTTAATATCATTTTTTAATTGAATAGCTGGAACACGATCAGGTTGTGGAGCATGGGAATGAGTTGTTGGTTGGGAGAGAATTGCACCCATTGATAAATTAGTATGACAACGAGCTTAATTGATAAATGATTTT